TACCGTGGCCACTACTCCAGTGGTGTAGAGCAGAGTACCGTGGCCACTACTCCAGTGGTGTAGAGCAGAGTACCGTGGCCACTACTCCAGTGGTGTAGAGCAGTAGTACTCCCAGAGTGCCGTGGCCACTACTCCAGTGGTGTAGAGCAGAGTACCGTGGCCACTACTCCAGTGGTGTAGAGCAGAGTACCGTGGCCACTACTCCAGTGGTGTAGAGCAGAGTACCGTGGCCACTACTCCAGTGGTGTAGAGCAGAGTACCGTGGCCACTACTCCAGTGGTGTAGAGCAGAGTACCGTGGCCACTACTCCAGTGGTGTAGAGCAGAGTACCGTGGCCACTACTCCAGTGGTGTAGAGCAGAGTACCGTGGCCACTACTCCAGTGGTGTAGAGCAGAGTACCGTGGCCACTACTCCAGTGGTGTAGAGCAGAGTACCGTGGCCAGAGTACCGTACCTCCAGTGGTGTAGAGCAGAGTACCGTGGCCCTACTCCAGTGGTGTAGAGCAGAGTACCGTGGCCACTACTCCAGTGGTGTAGAGCAGAGTACCGTGGCCACTACTCCAGTGGTGTAGAGCAGAGTACCGTGGCCACTACTCCAGTGGTGTAGAGCAGAGTACCGTGGCCACTACTCCAGTGGTGTAGAGCAGAGTACCGTGGCCACTACTCCAGTGGTGTAGAGCAGAGTACCGTGGCCACTACTCCAGTGGTGTAGAGCAGAGTACCGTGGCCACTACTCCCAGTGCCACTACTCCAGTGTAGAGCAGAGTACCGTGGCCACTACTCCAGTGGTGTAGAGCAGAGTACCGTGGCCACTACTCCAGTGGTGTAGAGCAGAGTACCGTGGCCACTACTCCAGTGGTGTAGAGCAGAGTACCGTGGCCACTACTCCAGTGGTGTAGAGCAGAGTACCGTGGCCACTACTCCAGTGGTGTAGAGCAGAGTACCGTGGCCACTACTCCAGTGGTGTAGAGCAGAGTACCGTGGCCACTACTCCAGTGGTGTAGAGCAGAGTACCGTGACCACTACTCCAGTGGTGTAGAGCAGAGTACCGTGGCCACTACTCCAGTGGTGTAGAGCAGAGTACCGTGGCCACTACTCCAGTGGTGTAGAGCAGAGTACCGTGGCCACTACTCCAGTGGTGTAGAGCAGAGTACCGTGGCCACTACTCCAGTGGTGTAGAGCAGAGTACCGTGGCCACTACTCCAGTGGTGTAGAGCAGAGTACCGTGGCCACTACTCCAGTGGTGTAGAGCAGAGTACCGTGGCCACTACTCCAGTGGTGTAGAGCAGAGTACCGTGGCCACTACTCCAGTGGTGTAGAGCAGAGGCCGTGGCCACTACTCCAGTGGTGTAGAGCAGAGTACCGTGGCCACTACTCCAGTGGTGTAGAGCAGAGTACCGTGGCCACTACTCCAGTGGGGGTAGAGCAGAGTACCGTGGCCACTACTCCAGTGGTAGAGCAGAGTACCGTGGCCACTACTCCAGTGGTGTAGAGCAGAGTACCGTGGCCACTACTCCAGTGGTGTAGAGCAGAGTACCGTGGCCACTACTCCAGTGGTGTAGAGCAGTGGTGTAGAGCAGAGTACCGTGGCCACTACTCCAGTGGTGTAGAGCAGAGTACCGTGGCCACTACTCCAGTGGTGTAGAGCAGAGTACCGTGGCCACTACTCCAGTGGTGTAGAGCAGAGTGCCGTGGCCACTACTCAGTGGTGTAGAGCACCGTGGCCACTACTCCAGTGGTGTAGAGCAGAGTACCGTGGCCACTACTCCAGTGGTGTAGAGCAGAGTACCGTGGCCACTACTCCAGTGGTGTAGAGCAGAGTGCCGTGGCCACTACTCCAGTGGTGTAGAGCAGAGTACCGTGGCCACTACTCCAGTGGTGTAGAGCAGAGTACCGTGGCCACTACTCCAGTGGTGTAGAGCAGAGTACCGTGGCCACTACTCCAGTGGTGTAGAGCAGAGTACCGTGGCCACTACTCCAGTGGTGTAGAGCAGAGTACCGTGGCCACTACTCCAGTGGTGTAGAGCAGAGTACCGTGGCCACTACTCCAGTGGTGCAGAGCAGAGTGCCGTGGCCACTACTCCAGTGGTGTAGAGCAGAGTACCGTGGCCACTACTCCAGTGGTGCAGAGCAGAGTACCGTGGCCACTACTCCAGTGGTGCAGAGCAGAGTACCGTGGCCACTACTCCAGTGGTGTAGAGCAGAGTACCGTGGCCACTACTCCAGTGGTGTAGAGCAGAGTACCGTGGCCACTACTCCAGTGGTGTAGAGCAGAGTACCGTGGCCACTACTCCAGTGGTGTAGAGCAGAGTACCGTGGCCACTACTCCAGTGGTGTAGAGCAGAGTACCGTGGCCACTACTCCAGTGGTGTAGAGCAGAGTACCGTGGCCACTACTCCAGTGGTGTAGAGCAGAGTACCGTGGCCACTACTCCAGTGGGGTAGAGCAGAGTACCGTGGCCACTACTCCAGTGGGGTAGAGCAGAGTACCGTGGCCACTACTCCAGTGGTGTAGAGCAGAGTACCGTGACCACTAGTCCAGTGGTGAAGAGCAGAGTACCGTGGCCACTACTCCAGTGGTGTAGAGCAGAGTACCGTGGCCACTACTCCAGTGGTGTAGAGCAGAGTACCGTGGCCACTACTCCAGTGGTTTAGAGCAGAGTACCGTGGCCACTACTCCAGTGGTGTAGAGCAGAGTGCCGTGGCCACTACTCCAGTGGTGTAGAGCAGAGTGCCGTGGCCACTACTCCAGTGGTGTAGAGCAGAGTACCGTGGCCACTACTCCAGTGGTGTAGAGCAGAGTACCGTGGCCACTACTCCAGTGGTGTAGAGCAGAGTACCGTGGCCACTACTCCAGTGGTGTAGAGCAGAGTACCGTGGCCACTACTCCAGTGGTGTAGAGCAGAGTACCGTGGCCACTACTCCAGTGGTGTAGAGCAGAGTACCGTGGCCACTACTCCAGTGGTGTAGAGCAGAGTACCGTGGCCACTACTCCAGTGGGGTAGAGCAGAGTACCGTGGCCACTACTTCAGTGGTGTAGAGCAGAGTACCGTGGCCACTACTCCAGTGGTGTAGAGCAGAGTACCGTGGCCACTACTCCAGTGGTGTAGAGCAGAGTACCGTGGCCACTACTCCAGTGGTGTAGAGCAGAGTACCGTGGCCACTACTCCAGTGGTGTAGAGCAGAGTACCGTGGCCACTACTCCAGTGGTGTAGAGCAGAGTACCGTGGCCACTACTCCAGTGGTGTAGAGCAGAGTACCGTGGCCACTACTCCAGTGGTGTAGAGCAGAGTACCGTGGCCACTACTCCAGTGGTGTAGAAGGCTCAAGACTGAGCATTTACAGGTAATATGGGGGATGGGGCCTCGTAGCCTGGTGGATAGCGCGCAGGACTCGTTATTCTGTGGCGCGGGTTCGATTCCCGCACGAGGCAGAAACAAATGGGCAAAGTTTCTTTCACCCTAAATGCCCCTGTTACCTAGCAGTAAATAGGTACCTGGGAGTTAGTCAGCTGTCACGGGCTGCTTCCTGGGGATGGAGGCCTGGTCGAGGACCGGGCCGCGGGGACACTAAAGCCCCGAAATCATCTCAAAGATAACCTCAAAGAGGTGACACCTTTTGCCAGCTGTAGGTTTGTGTAGGATGGTGTTATGCACGCTCACGCACACGCACGCGCTCACGCATGCACTCACACACGCACAGAACATCTTTGGTGTTGTTGCTGATACCTAGATACTTTTGGTGATGCTGCTGATGTTTAGACACCTTTAGTGATGCTGCTGATGTCTAGACACCTTTGGTGATGCTGCTGATGTCTAGACACCTTTGGTGATGCTGCTGATGTCTAGACACCTTTGGTGATGCTGCTGATGTCTAGATACCTTTGGTGATGCTGCTGATGTCTAGACACCTTTGGTGATGCTGCTGATGTCTAGACACCTTTGGTGATGCTGCTGATGTCTAGACACCTTTGGTGATGCTGCTGATGTCTAGATACCTTTGGTGATGCTGCTGTCTAGATTCCTTTGGTGATGCTGCTGATGTCTAGACACCTTTGGTGATGCTGCTGATGTCTCGACACCTTTGGTGATGCTGCTGATGTCTAGACACCTTTGGTGATGCTGCTGATGTCTAGACACCTTTGGTGATGCTGCTGATGTCTAGACACCTTTGGTGATGCTGCTGATGTCTAGACACCTTTGGTGATGCTGCTGATGTCTAGACACCTTTGGTGATGCTGCTGATGTCTAGACACCTTTGGTGATGCTGCTGATGTCTAGACACCTTTGGTGATGCTGCTGATGTCTAGATACCTTTGGTGATGCTGCTGTCTAGATTTTTTTGGTGATGCTGCTGATGTCTAGACACCTTTGGTGATGCTGCTGATGTCTAGACACCTTTGGTGATGCTGCTGATGTCTAGACACCTTTGGTGATGCTGCTGATGTCTAGACACCTTTGGTGATGCTGCTGATGTCTAGACACCTTTGGTGATGCTGCTGATGTCTAGATACCTTTGGTGATGCTGCTGTCTAGATTTTTTTGGTGATGCTGCTGATGTCTAGACACCTTTGGTGATGCTGCTGATGTCTAGACACCTTTGGTGATGCTGCTGATGTCTAGACACCTTTGGTGATGCTGCTGATGTCTAGACACCTTTGGTGATGCTGCTGATGTCTAGACACCTTTGGTGATGCTGCTGATGTCTAGACACCTTTGGTGATGCTGCTGATGTCTAGACACCTTTGGTGATGCTGCTGATGTCCAGACAACACTGTTATTGTGGCTGATGTCAAGATAACTCTGGTGTTACTGAAGACATCTAGATAACTGTTGTGCTGCTCAAGACGTCTTGATAACTGCCATATTGCTGTTCATGTCTAGATAACTTTGGTGCTGCAGAAGACAACATATACGCCAACGCACCAGCATAAAGTACAATAGACCGCTCCTTACAAGTCAAAAATTGTCGTTTTAATATTTTAACATTGCCATCCCCCAGTAATCTCCTTCATGCCTTTGCGTCTTGCCCTCCTCAAGGACCTCCTCCAGGCGCCCTCCTCAAGGACCTCCTCCAGGCGCCCTCCTCAATGACCTCCTCCAGGCGCCCTCCTCAAGGACCTCCTCCAGGCGCCCTCCTCAAGGACCTCCTCCAGGCGCCCTCCTCAAGGACCTCCTCCAGACGCCCTCCTCAAGGACCTCCTCCAGGCGCCCTCCTCAAGGACCTCCTCCAGGCGCCCTCCTCAAGGACCTCCTCCAGGCGCCCTCCTCAAGGACCTCCTCCAGGCGCCCTCCTCAAGGACCTCCTCCAGGCGCCCTCCTCAAGGACCTCCTCCAGGCGCCCTCCTCAAGGACCTCCTCCAGGCGCCTCCTCAAGGACCTCCTCCTGGCGCCCTCCTCAAGGACCTCCTCCAGGCGCCCTCCTCAAGGACCTCCTCCAGGCGCCCTCCTCAAGGACCTCCTCCAGGTGCCTTCCTCAAGGACCTCCTCCAGGCGCCCTCCTCAAGGACCTCCTCCAGGCGCCCTCCTCAAGGAACCTCCTCCAGGCGCCCTCCTCAAGGACCTCCTCCAGGCGCCCTCCTCAAGGACCTCCTCCTCCAGGCGCCCTCCTCAAGGACCTCCTCCAGGCGCCCTCCTCAAGGACCTCCTCCAGGCGCCCTCCTCAAGGACCTCCTCCAGGCGCCCTCCTCAAGGACCTCCTCCAGGCGCCCTCCTCAAGGACCTCCTCCAGGCGCCCTCCTCAAGGACCTCCTCCAGGCGCCCTCCTCAAGGACCTCCTCCAGGCGCCCTCCTCAAGGACCTCCTCCAGGCGCCCTCCTCAAGGACCTCCTCCAGGCGCCCTCCTCAAGGACCTCCTCCAGGCGCCTCCTCAAGGACCTCCTCCAGGCGCCCTCCTCAAGGACCTCCTCCTCAAGGACCTCCTCCAGGCCCTCCTCAAGGACCTCCTCCAGGCGCCCTCCTCAAGGACCTCCTCCAGGCGCCCTCCTCAAGGACCTCCTCCAGGCGCCCTCTCAAGGACCTCCTCCAGGCGCCCTCCTCAAGGACCTCCTCCAGGCGCCCTCCTCAAGGACCTCCTCCAGGCGCCCTCCTCAAGGACCTCCTCCAGGCGCCCTCCTCAAGGACCTCCTCCAGGCGCCCTCCTCAAGGACCTCCTCCAGGCGCCCTCCTCAAGGACCTCCTCCAGGCGCCCTCCTCAAGGACCTCCTCCAGGCGCCCTCCTCAAGGACCTCCTCCAGGCGCCCTCCTCAAGGACCTCCTCCAGGCGCCCTCCTCAAGGAACCTCCTCCAGGCGCCCTCCTCAAGAACCTCCTCCAGGCGCCCTCCTCAAGGACCTCCTCCAGGCCCTCCTCAAGGCCCTCCTCAAGGACCTCCTCCAAGGCGCCCTCCTCAAGGACCTCCTCCAGGCGCCCTCCTCAAGGACCTCCTCCAGGCGCCCTCCTCAAGGACCTCCTCCAGGCGCCCTGCTCCTCCATTGTTACATTTTTGGGCCGGTGAGGCAATTTTGGTTATTGTGTGAGTTCAATCTGCAGGTCCGCCCCTGATTAAGGCTTGAGGCCTCCTCGCCACACAAGGGGACGTGAACACAAGCCCCACTGCAACAATGACAAACATTCACAAGAACACAGCTTTTGTCTGCAGTGTAACGACGACAAGTCTTCGCAAGCAGTTTGCTTGCCACTCTCCTTGGTGTGCGATAAGTCACTGGAAACAGGAGACCTGCCAGAAATATGGAAGACGGCTAATGTAGTCCCATTATACACAACCGTTGACAGGTAAGAGGCACTGAACTACAGACCAGTGTCCTTAACATGTATACCATGCAATGTGACGATCGTAAGGGGAAGAATTTAGCTTATCTGGAGAGAAGGGACTGCGTGACAACCCATCAACATGGGTTCAGGGAGGGTAAATCTTGCCTCACTGGCTTATTAGAATTCTATGACCAGGTGACAAAAATTAAGCATGAAGGAGAAGGCTGGGCAGACTTCATTTTTTTGGACTGTCGGAAAGCCTTTGACATATGCACCAACCTCATATGGGGTACTAAGTAGGTGAAACAGGCAGGAGTAACTGGTGGATAAGGGAGTACCTAAGCAATAGGAAGCAGAGAGTTATAGTGAGGGGTGAGACCTCAGACTGGCGTGAAGTCACCAGTGGAGTCCCACAGGGCTCTGTACTTGGACTTATCCTGTTTCTGATATACGTAAATGATCTCCCAGAGGGTATAGACTCATTCCTCTCAATGTTTGCTGACGACGCCAAAATTATGAGAAGGATTAAGACAGAGGAGGACAGCTTGAGGCTTCATGATGACCTGGACAAACTGAATGAATGGTCCAACAAATGGTTGTTAGAGTTTAACCTGAGCAAATGTAAACTAATGAAGACAGGTAAAGGGAGCAGGAGGCCTGAAACAAGATACCATTTGGGAGATGAAATCTTTCAAGATACAAGGAGAGAAGAAGACCCGGGGTTGATATCCGGCCAGACCTGTCCCCTGAAAAAAATATCTAGAGGATATCATCAGCGATGTATACCAGACTGGCCAACATAAGAACTGGCATCAGAAACTTGTATAAGGAATCGTTTAGAACCTTGTATACCACATATATCAGACCAATCCTGAAGTATGCAACTCCAGCTTGGAGTCTGACGCACAAGACTAAATTAGAGAAGATTCAACGATATGCCAACAGACTCGTACCCGAGCTGAGGGGTATGAGCTACGAGGAGAGCACTATACATGGTACAGGAACCATGAGTGAGGTACAGGAACCGAGTGAGGTACAGGAACTATACCTCACTTTGCTTGAAGACAGAAGAGTTGGGGAGACATGATCACTACATAAAAGAATCTCGGAGCAATTGATAGGGTAAATAAAAACAGTTTATTTACACAAGTGGAACCATAGTTCCCAAATGAGCCACAGAGACATTAGAAAGAACTTTTGCAGTGTCAGAGTAGTTAACAGATGGAATGCATTAGGCAGTGATGTGATGGAGGCTGACTCTACACACAGTCTCAAATATAGATATGATAGAGCCCAGTAGGCTCAGGAATCTGTACACCAGTTGATTGACGGTTGAGAGGCGGGACCAAAGAGCCAGAGCTCAACCCCCACAAGCACAATAAGATGAGTACAAGAACACAGCTTCCTTCTGCAGTGCAACAACGACGAGTGTTCACTCTACATTGTTCACCGTTTATATATAATCATTCACAATGAAACATCATTGTTTTCTGAGTCCTTCTGTAAAGACCCCATTGTTACTTGTGGGGTAACCTGACCCCATTGTTACTTGTGAGGTAACCTGACCCCATTGTTACTTGTGAGGTAACCTGACCCCATTGTTACTTGTGGGGTAACCTGACCCCATTGTTACTTGTGATTGTTACTTGTGGGGTAACCTGACCCCATTGTTACTTGTGGGGTAACCTGACCCCATTGTTACTTTTGAGGTAACCTGACCCCATTGTTACTTGTGGGGTAACCTGACCCCATTGTTACTTGTGGGGTAACCTGACCCCATTGTTACTTGTGAGGTAACCTGACCCCATTGTTACTTGTGAGGTAACCTGACCCCATTGTTACTTGTGGGGTAACCTGACCCCATTGTTACTTGTGAGGTAACCTGACCCCATTGTTACTTGTGGGGTAACCTGACCCCATTGTTACTTGTGAGGTAACCTGACCCCATTGTTACTTGTGGGGTAACCTGACCCCATTGTTACTTGTGGGGTTACTTGTGGGGTAACCTGACCCCATTGTTACTTGTGAGGTAACCTGACCCCATTGTTACTTGTGAGGTAACCTGACCCCATTGTTACTTGTGGGGTAACCTGACCCCATTGTTACTTGTGAGGTAACCTGACCCCATTGTTACTTGTGGGGTAACCTGACCCCATTGTTACTTGTGGGGTAACCTGACCCCATTGTTACTTGTGAGGTAACCTGACCCCATTGTTACTTGTGGGGTAACCTGACCCCATTGTTACTTGTGGGGTAACCTGACCCCATTGTTACTTGTGGGGTAACCTGACCCCATTGTTACTTGTGAGGTAACCTGACCCCATTGTTACTTGTCTACCCTTGGCCACCCAGTACCACTCAACCAGGACCTTGGCCACCCAGTACCAGTCAACCAGGACCTTGGCCACCCAGTACCAGTCAACCAGGACCTTGGCCACCCAGTGCCAGTCAACCAGGACCTTGGCCACCCAGTACCAGTCAACCAGTACCGTGGCCACCCAGTGCCAGTCAACCAGTACCGTGGCCACCCAGTACCAGTCAACCAGGACCTTGGGCACCCAGTGCCAGTGTCAGTCAACCAGGACCTTGGGCACTCAGTACCAGTCAACCAGGACCTGGGCCACCCAGTGCCAGTCAACCAGTACCTTGGCCACCCAGTGCCAGTCAACCAGGACCTTGGCCACCCAGTGCCAGTCAACCAGGACCTTGGCCACCCAGTGCCAGTCAACCAGGACCTTGGCCACCCAGTGCCAGTCAACCAGGACCTTGGCCACCCAGTGCCAGTCAACCAGTACCTTGGCCACCCAGTGCCAGTCAACCAGGACCTTGGCCACCCAGTGTCAGTACCAGTCAACCAGGACCTTGGCCACCCAGTGTGCCAGTCAACCGGGACCTTGGCCACCCAGTGCCAGTGCCAGTCAACCAGGACCTTGGCCACCCAGTAACCGGGCCAGATCTGAATTAACTTCTATTGTTTAGCTACAACAGGTCGTTATGTACTGTGATGTATGATGATCACCAGAGTTCCGGCTTGCTGTAACCTTCAGTCCAACTCCTCGGACCTGAAGCGTTTGATCTCCTACCTGTCACGACACGAGAACCTTGTACCTCAATACCTGCCAATTCACTAGAGACTTAAAGAACGCCGCCACCACCTGACTTATTTCCTTTACTGATAATTCCCCCTAACTGACGGTGAAGCAGGAAACTGTCAATTAGCCCTTGATCCCTGAATGTGGATCACCAATTATCCGAAAGGAGAGATGAGATTTACTTTAAATGTGTAGTTTGACTCGACAAAAGGGCTTATAGTGAATAGAATAAGAGATGCACCACGGGGACCTAACAAGTCACCGTGGTGTAGTGGTAAGACACTCGCCTGGCGTTCCGCGAGCGCTTTGTCATGGGTTCGTATCCTGGCCGGGGAGGATTTACTGGGCGCAAATCCTTAACTGTAGCCTCTGTTTAACTCAACAGTAAAATGAGTACTTGGTTGTAACAGCGATTCTTCGCGGCGGGGATCGTATTCTCAAACCAGGGACCTGCCCGAAACGCTACGCGTACTTGTGGCTGTACAAGAATGTGACAACTCTTGTATATATCTCAAAAAAAATGTTTGTACAGTTCAGAGGAGTGTATTCGATAATCAGGGGCGTGAATAAACCTTACCGAAATAAACGAATATAACATATACACTGGGGAACATTCCACTAAATACTATAAATTCTAAACAAGATCTATTAAAACATAAATAATTATTATGGAACAAATGAATATTCCACGCTAAATTTATTCCTAACTGAAATTCTTCCTAAAGTAGAGGAACTGATTAATGAATTTAAAAGGAACTGAACCAACTTGTAAGCACTTTATCCAGACGGCCGCTCCTCACACTGCTCTAACACTCACTCTGACCTCTGTCAAGCTGACCTGGGCTAGTTGACAAGCCTCACTGACAAGCCTAGTTATCAAGGGTAACTCAATGTACTAATCACTTACGATGATCAGTATATTCCCATTTCAAAACTGATGACAAATTACACTGGTACTTGAGTCAGGTTGATTATTAATTATAATACTGAATGATACTCTGGATTTATAATTTCCATGAAGTAACAGACAAGATGATCAGTACATATTTTTCACCTTGTGGATGTTCTCATCCTAAGATTCGTCTGTACTTGACGACGAGTGGACTCTTTACTTTAATTGTCGTTAAATTAACTGTTAACAAGGAACGTTATTAATATACCACTATTAATTACTTTTACTATCTGAATTTCTCTAAACCTGATGAATTAATTCAGGGGAAGGCTGTAGCACTCGTGCCTGCCTCACTCCCCTGCTAGTCTCTAGGGACACCCTTATCTTGAGACCCTTTCTGGGAACTCGGGTACAAACTCCCCTGAAACTCCAAAACCTAGATAATCCCTGTCTACAATACTATACAAGGTCTCTAAGCTTCTGAAACAGCTTAGACTGTTACAGCTCTCTTGCTCACATGTTTAGGAAACATTGTTTTTAATCTAAAACACGATGATTATTATCCTAATACTTTACATTACAGAGAAAAATTTAACCCAATGCCTAAAAAAAAGTCTACGGTACCTTAAAATCACTACAATCAGTAGATTGTATCACAATAAACATTTAACAACATACAGATCCCAGCATTTGAATCTCGACTGTCAGGCTGACAGTCCAACAGTTACCAGTCAAGTGGACGAGGGGAGGGTGGA